CACTCCAGACCTTTCCATTGACCGTTCGCGCACACCGTCAGTTACCAAGTAGCAGATAAGACGAAAACACGCAAAGGTGATAATAGATAAAACTGACAGGCTTCATTTCCTTGGCGACTAGTAGTTCCTAGTACATGGGCGCTGTACACAAAAGAGTCAAAATGTGGTCACGACAAAACTTGATTTCCGTATCCCGCTACTTTTTCCTTACGATTCCCGCATCCCAACCCAATAAAAATAGGAAATCCCGCTCCCGCTCATAATCAAATTTCCGCTTCCCGCTCCTTTTTTTAGCTCGCATCTCGAGTATCACCACATAAAACAGCCAAATCCCGCATCCCGCCAAACCTATTGTGGACCCTTTCTGCTAGGGGTAGACCTCTAGGAAAGTAGACACCCCCTTTCAGCTCCCTCATAAGCCAAGTGGGCAGTAAAACAGATCAAGACGGAAATTTACTGCAACAAAGCCCTTTGATGTTCAATGACAATAAAAATGAACAGATTATAGCCTCCGCTTACTGGAAGTTTATCATTCTGTAACTTTTAAACTTTAAGCGACTGTTCATCTGTAATAAATAGCCTGTCACGACGCTGTATGTTCATGGCCATCTTAATTGGACTACATTTCTACATCTAGCAAATTGACGGTGAGGCTGGCAAAAAGAGACCAGTTTCAATATATCAAAAGTCATACCTTGGGGGAATAAAATAAAAGAAATGTATTATTCATTGCTGTGCCTCAAGTATGAATTTGAACATATCAAAATTGTTCTATAGTATTTAACATTGTCTTATATCCAAACCACTTTCAGTGAAAGTGGTCAAAAAGCTTTTAAGAAAGTTTCCTATAAGAAAATCACAATCAGTTGCAAAAGCGGTCAACTGGTAATGTTTGCTTTCCCTTTAAGGTGACTCGACCCAGTTTTTTGGGGGGGTACCATCCTACTTTGAAGCTCTCTGGTATCCCCACCTTTACTTTTATCGTAAGTCTAACACATAGAATGGATAACATATAGATCAATCTACAATATAACATAAAAGTTTTGGCGATCGGAGTAAATGTCACGTGGTTATAATGCCACGCCCCTTTGAGGTCTGAGTCGAAAATCTGCTGTTACCGGCATTTTTTCGTGAAAATCTCTCTGCTACACATAGTGCGCATTAGTGCCTTGAGCTGAACAGAGTTTCACCAAAATCGCAAAGACCCAATTCGAGAAATTCAGCGGTTTCCAAATTTAGGTCATAATTTATGCGAAAATGGTAAGCAAACTTTACACGGATTATATCTTATAAACTATGAGACTCATCTCTTTATTTTGGGCATCCTTATACCAGATGGGTCCTTGCAAGTCAGCAAAACGCTTTAGGGCCTTGTAAATGCGCGCCATTTCGAGCAAAGCAAACATATAGAAATTATAGTTTTCGCTATTTGTTGACGTTTGTCAGCGTTTAAGAGTCCTTCTCACGAAAAAAGCATTTTCTTAAAAATTCGTAGTTTTTTTTCCTTCGAATTTTTTCAGGGCCACAATTGATTAACTAACTACCCGGACTCTGAATTTCATGGTCATTGAAAAACTGTGACATTATCTTCTATAAGCCCAAACTTGAGTAAACATTGAAGATTTTTAGCGTTTTGGCTGAGTTTGTGCATTGGGAGTTGTCTATTGTTTCTAGTCTGTCATTATACAGCATTCTTGTTCAGCAAGCGTGCAATGACCACGCTTGGCTGACTTCCGAATGCTCACCGAGATACTCCCGTCACGAGTTGGTTTAATTATTGGCTTGCATTAAACCTATGAAAAAAATGATATTTTTTTAATAGTAAGTAGATTTAGTGTGTAGCACTTCTTGATTTTTTTTGCAAAGGCACAAGAAGCACGACAATTGATTAAAAATTGTGAGTTAAACCTCTATGTATCACGCGATGGCCTGTCTCACTGTACCAAAATTATTATATCTCGGTGAGCATTCGGAAGTCAGCCAAGCGCGGTCATTGCACGCGTGCTGAACAAGAATGCTGTATCATGACAGACTAGAAACAATAGACAACTCCCAAAGCACAAACTCAGCTAAAACATTAAAAATCTTCAATGTTTACTCAAGTTTGGGCTTATAGAAGATAATGTCACAGTTTTTCAATGACCATGAAATTCAGAGTCCGGGTAGTTAGTTAATCAATTGTGGCCCTGAAAAAATTTGAAGGAAAAAAAACTACGAATTTTTAAGAAAATGCTTTTTTCGTGAGAAGGACTCTTAAACGCTGACAAACGTCAACAAATAGCGAAAACTATAATTTCTATATGTTTGCTTTGCTCGAAATCGCGCGCATTTACAAGGCCCTAAAGCGTTTTGCTGACTTGCAAGGACCCATCTGTTATAAGGATGCCCAAAATAAAGAGATGAGTCTCATAGTTTATAAGATATAATCCGTGTAAAGTTTGCTTACCATTTTCGCATAAATTATGACCTAAATTTGGAAACCGCTGAATTTCTCGAATTGGGTTTTTGCGATTTTGGTGAAACTCTGTTCAGCGCAAGGCACTAATGCGCACTATGTGTAGCAGAGAGATTTTCACGAAAAAATGCCGGTAACAGCAGATTTTCGACTCAGACCTCAAAGGGACGTGGCATTATAACCACGTGACATTTACTCCGCTCGCCAAAACTTTTATGTTATATTGTAGATTAATCTACATGTTATCCATTCATGTGTTAGACTTACGATAAAAGTAAAGGTGGGGATACCGGAGAGCTTCAAAGTAGGATGGTACCCCCCCCAAAAAACTGGGTCGAGTCACCTTAAGGTTACTTTAACACGGTACCGGTCGAATTTTTAACCGGTTGAAAAATTTGATAGGACACTTCGTTCCCAAGGAACCGTTCTATATTTTTGCGCTGTTCACACAGAACTGTCGAGCTGTAATATTTCCAAGCAAACTGAGTAATAACACGACTCGTAAATCCATGTTTGCAATATCTTGTTGCTATAAAGCCACAAGTGCACCAGTAATATACACTCTGTGTAATATGTAGTATTGTGTCTTCTCACTGATAGTCAGTAGTAGTAACTAGTAGTTACTAGTGGTTACCTGTAGTTACTAGTAGTTACTGGTAGTTGCTAGTAGTTATTAGTAGTAGTTACTTGTGGTTACTAGTAGTTACTGGTTATGTTAGTGGTTACTGTTAGTTGCTAGTAGTTACTTGTAGTTACTGGTAGTTACTTCTAGTTAAAGGTAGTTAGTAGTAGTTACTGGTAGTTGCTAGTAGTTATTGGTAGTTACTTGTAGTTACTAGTAGTTACTGGTAGTTACTAGTAGTTCAATGTAGTTACTAGTAGTTACTTGTAGTTGCTAGTAGTTACTGGTAGTTGCTAGTAGTTACTGGTAGTTACCTTGTAGTTACTAGTAGTTACTGGTAGTTACTAGTAGTTAAAGGTAGTTGCTAGTAGTTACTGGTAGTTGCTAGTAGTTACTGGTAGTTACCTTGTAGTTACTAGTAGTTAAAGGTAGTTGCTAGTAGTTACTGGTAGTTACTAGAAGTTACTGGTAGTTGCTATTAGTTACCTATTTTCCTCTCTTTTTGCAGCTGAGTTACCACGCATCCATGCAACCACGCCTTTGCTATGCAAAAATTTTGCTGGTCACGGTGATATTTTGTATTCAAAACAGTAGCAAACAGGAAACCAATGTAGCTCGCGAAGCAAAGGCGTGATAGGGCACGACTTTGGGGCGCAATAAATTAAGCGAGCACTAACATTTAGAGAACAAATCCTGTGTATAAATAGCAAACAAAAGCGGTCGGACACAAGAACCTTGAGGGACACTCCATTTTAAGTCAAACGGCTGCGAGAGCGTCTCCTTTATGGAGATTCTTTAAGATCTCCCTTCCAAGTACGATTTGAACCAGGAACTGTCGAGCTGTAATATTTCCAACAAAGTGAGTAATAACATGACTCGTAAATCCATGTTCGCAATATCCGGTTGATATTTTGGTATATACTTCATGGTGGAAAGCCACAAATGCACCGGTAATATACAACCTGTGTAATATGTGGTATTGTGTCTTCTCACTGATAGTCAGTAGTAGTAACTAGTAGTTACTAGTAGTTACCTATAGTTAACTAGTAGTTACTGGTAGTTGCTAGTAGTTACTACTACTAGTTACTTGTAGTTACTAGTAGTTACTGGTTATGCTAGTGGTTACTGTTAGTTGCTAGTAGTTACTTGTAGTTACTGGTAGTTACTAGTAGTTAAAGGCAGTTAGTAGTAGTTACTGGTAGTTGCTAGTAGTTACTGGTAGTTACCTGTAGCTACCAGTAGTTACTGGTAGTTACTAAAAGTTATAGGTAGTTACTAGTAATTACTGGTAGTTGCTAGTAGTTACTGGTAGTTACTTGTAGTTACTAGTAGTTACTGGTAGTTACTAATAGTTAAAGGTAGTTATTAGTAGTTACTTGCAATTGTAGTTGCTAGTAGTTACTGGTAGTTGCGAGTAGTTAGTAGTAGTTACAGATTGCAATTGAGGGAAGACTGAGATTATTTGTAATCATGTCACAAACTGCAAGTTGCTTATTAGACGAAAATTCTTGAACAGTAGATCGAGGCCGGGCTTTTTTAATGATGGGTTCCAGGTTTCAGCAAAATATCCAGTCTGCAAGGAGAGGTTGGCCATATTAGTAATGGCAGGAAGGAGCGAGTTTAAACATGAAGATGCAAGATTTGTTCTTTGCAGATGTAATCAATTTGACGAACTGTATCAGTCAGGCTTGGCATTGGAAGTGGGAAAATACAATATCACCAGATTCATATTCCAGGTTGGGGTCGGACGTTGACAGCAAGAATGCCATTCAGCTTTGACCTGATATTGGTAATCTTGGCAATAAAAAAAACTGACCAATATTGTTTGCAAGAAGTGAAACAGAATGTGTGGAAGAGATCGATCTTTCTTCATATTCAATAAACTCTTATTTGCTGCGAACAGCCTCCTCTGGTCTGTGCTGTTATCTTCGATAGACTGATTATAGTAAAGACGGCGTGCCTCATTCATCAATTCAAATTCACCACACGATTTCTTTCCTTCTTAAAAGCATCAAGATCAACAGATAATCTTGCAGCTCTCCACGTCTTTTCAGCATTTCGTCTCAAGCGTTTGGCATTCCTAATATCTTCATTGAACCACGCAACAAGAGGCGTAACATTAATGTCACGAGTTAAGACATGTGCATACATATCCAGTTGAGATCGTAACGACTCATTATAACAGCTGACTAGAGAGTCCAAGTCGCCAGGTGGATCATGATTTAGCTGAGAAGAAGGAATGGCCTCAGAAAATTGTTTAGGGTCAGTTGATTTCGTGCATGACATTAGATTGAGGTCTGTTAGATCTTATTTGACTGAAGACTGGAAAATGGTCGAAAAATAACTCCCAATACAAGGGCAAGCAGCAATGATGTTATCAGACGTACGAGTGGTAATCAAGTCAAGTGTATGACCAAGTTCATGCGTAGTAGACAAACATGCTGCTTGAGACCCATCGACTCCAGTATATCCGACAGGTAGTTGGTCCATATGGATATTAAAATCGCCCAGAATTATCAAGGACTTACTTAACATGACCAGAGACTCGAGGTAAACGGTAAACGGGTCAGTGAAAAATGTGCATGTGGTCACAGCATGTTTAGCAAAATATAGAGGCCTGTAAACTATGATGAGTCGTAAACGAGAAATAGTTACTAGGAAACTTATTCCGTTTATAAGTTTATTAGGAAACTTATTCCGACCACGTTTATATATCAACAGCTCTTTACATTTGCGATTGTTTGTATCCCTCAGTGACTCCTACAGGCGTTCCCGTACTCTGGATAGTGTTGGGAGTTTCCGTGACTCTTTCTGCTTTGGTGGTGGGGATAATTGTCTACCGTAAGAGAGCAAAGAGGAATAAACGGTATTTCATAAAATGTTATTGTCTTTGTGAATTCTTTGTATTATGATAATCAAATGCATGCGGAAAAAGACGATATTTTTTTCTGTGCAAGTGTCCGTTGGCCTTTAAGTGTCTCTCAGTCAAGTCGCGCTGGTGAGTGACCTTCCTTACAGACCAAGGCGATGTACTTTTATCACCTTGTATGAACCAGGAAACCATCTCTGATTTAAGCATTATCACAAGCCCATGATTAATGACGACAAATTTCATTAACATTTAATTTGCACTATTTTCTCTAGATCCAGTGAGTCTGACATTGCTGAGTTTATGTTGCTGGAAGTCCCACACGAGCGGGTTACTATCATGGAGGAACTGGGACGAGGCGCTTTTGGAAGAGTTTATAAGAGCGTGATGAGGGGGTTACCTGAAAAGAATACATCCTCTAAACCCAAGGATCACAGTTTGGATTCGCACGAGGGACGTATTGTTGCTACAAAAGTTCTACCAGGTGTGTGAGTTCAGAATATGGCAAAAAGATAACTTACTCTTTCAGCAAACGCTATTCACGGGAGTGATTCTTATTAATAACAGGCAAGAGAGCCTCTCTTGTAACAGGTTTGAATATTTAATCCAATAGATAGCAAACATTATATCGTGGAAAACAGCATCTCAATGCCCCAGTGGGTAACATTGTGATGTACCTCAGGGGCTCATTTTAGATCTAAATTTTGTTTTCTACTTATATTAATGACCTCCCTGAATGTTTGCAATTTACCACACGATTTGCAGTGAATAAATTACTGTAGACACAAAAACCTTCAGTGAGATCAGAACATTGATAAGGTGTGCTGCAAGGTTGGTCGTGTTATAAGTGGTCTTAGACAGACTCGAGTTTATGTCACATTATTTAAACGTACTAAAAAGTATATAGCGCTTAAATCGATGCCCGTGTTCAAGCAAAAACCGAGCGGGCACCTTTCAACAAAACCACACAGATATAAAAAATGCAAAACAGAGCAGGCTGCATGATCACTTCTCAGAGCTGTGACATGATAACAGATTATCTCTTTAAACCAATTCAAAATGTTAGCGCATTCCTTCGTAATGTGTAGATTGGTCGTTCTCTTATGTGATCTTTCGAAATACGTTATTCAGTCACTTGAGAACTTTATCTGATCGTATGTGGTTGCAAATATGACCACATTACTGCAGCTTTACTTGGAGCATGAGTAGCGGATTTTAAATCATTCATGTCCGAGCTGTAATCGTCATTTGTTTCAAACTCACATGTCTGTTAGGAGTTCACGATCATCAACCATGAACTTGTTAATTAGTGACACCCAGATCAAGGCTAAAACTTTTATCCGACGATCATGCTTTTTCGTTTTGTGCCCCTAAACTTTGGAATGATTCTCCAGAGTACATACAGTGTAAAATGGAGTTTGAATATTCGTTCTTCTAAGAGTAATCTTAAAGCTTTAAAACCTCTAAGCGTTATTTTTATTTCGTAGTTTTGTTTAACAATTTTTTTTGTCAGTGTTACGAGGTACTGCTTTCTAGTCGTTTAAGTTTAAAACATTTATTTGACGACGATGACGGTGAGCCGAAAACCCTCGGTGAAACTCAACTACAAAAGCATATGGGGATGTCCCTGTCTATGCAGAGTCAATGAAAATGAGCCAATTGGATAGATGCGTTAGGATTACAAATGTACACTCAAGGAAAGTCATATTACTGGAGATAGAGTACCCGTGGGACGAGAATAGGGAAGCAATTAAAGAACACAAAACTTGACGTCTAGAATTAAAGAGACAAGTTTCCGGACTAAAAGATCTTCCAGTATTACATCATGTTACACGTCGTGCTTGGTGATCGCTAGATGAAGAGAACTAATGGTTTTTCTTTGAGACTTTGTTTTATCTACTCACTTAACTCAGGGAACCAATTTTTTTAACAAATAGATTTTTTCTCAAGCAGAAATTAGGACCTGAGCAATTGACTGTGTTATATTTTCATAGGTTAAATATACTTTCATTTTAATTAGTTCTTTTTTTCTTTACATCTCGTTTTAGTTGTTTATTAGTAACTGATATTGTGTAGCATTTACGTAGGTCACTGTTACCTGGATTTTCTTTAAATGTCTTTTGTTTTTTAGAAAATGCCACGGAAGAGGACAAACGGCAAATAGTTCGGGAAATTGAGCTGATGAAGGAAGTCGGAACACACCGTAATATTGTGAGCATGCTCGGCTACTGGATCCAATCACAACCCATCATGTTAATCATGGAATATGTTCCAAACGGAGACCTTCTCCAGTGGCTCAGAAACAAAAGGCAACAGGTATCATTACTTTATCAGCTGTATCAATAAAAATTTGCTGGCCTCTGTTTTGCCTTTTATTTGAAAAATATCTTCTCTCCATTCGGAATAGGGCTGCGCACAGATATTATTCATAGAACTCAAACTCAGACAAACGAATTCCTCAATTTTGTTTGTCTTTTTGTCATTAAAATGTCAAGTTTGTCTGACTTTTGACGTGAAAATAACAAAAATGGCAGATTTCAGACAAACATGGCAAATTAGTCACTCTGACGTCATTAGTATTCTGTGCTGCACTTTAATTTTCTAATGAACATCGTCCTGGGCGTGTATGTTCTTTTTCTTACATTGTGTGGTCTCTTAAGGCAGAAGGAAAATCCTCTCCCTCATCACACGTCTGAAAACCATCGTCTTCAGTAAAAATAATAAGATGCTAAACAACTTGAAGTGAGAATTTGTACATGTTACCTATAATTTAAGTTCTCAAAGACAGAGGTGCAATAACTGAATGTAGATATCAATGCAACCGGATATTCGTATTTTTCCAAACGCGGTTTATACAGCCAGACTGTTTAGATGCTATTCATGTATTCGGAAAACAAAGATCAGTAAATACACAAAAATTTGTATTCAACGCTGAATTAATAAAGCCAAGCTTGCCCTGGTACGATCAGTTAAGGTTTCCGGGAAACTGGCCACCTATCCCTCCCCTAAGCCACATTTTGGCCTGAGTGAGAAGGTAGTGATAATGTTGTCTTAGGAGAGGGAAAGGTGGTCAGAAAAGAAAACAAAACGACGTTTTGAGCGTTTACCCCTGGGGGTACCCCCGCCCGATAGGATGAGGATCTCCATCTGTGGGACGTTAAAGAACCCACACACTCGCTCTTTGTGAAGAGTAGGGCACGTAGTGGCCGGTGTAGTGGTTTATCTCACTTTCACACTCATGTATGGGGGCATCATTACTCATTCCTTCATTACTTGTAAAATGCACCTTAAGCGGTCTGGCAAAGTCCCCCAAACAGTGTTGTAAATTACACATTACACGTCCCGAAAGCCCTGTACGAGATATGACGTTTAATCCATTTGAATTTTTCGTGGACGCTTTAAAGAAAGTTGGCCCATAAGGTATTCCCGGCTAGATTTTCAGTTTAACGTCGGTTAAGTAAATAAATCTTTCAATTCACATGGATTCCTTTTAAATTGGGGAAAATATTTCGGCTAACCAACTGATAGTGTTGAAATTGTTTCTGCTGACAAAACCGTTTCATGATCAGACGGAATTCATTTCAATATTTTTTGCAGCTTACAATGAAAAAGAGTCGGCAAAGTGATGTCGTTGAAAGGCTTAAGCCTCCTGTTCCTGAGAGACCGAAATTAGTGTCCAGGAACCTGCAAACAAAAGATGTCCTGGATGAAAACCTGAAAGAGGAGAAGAGCGAAAGAAATAATGAAGAAAGTGGAAAAGACGGTGGTTATCATTCCAGCGAGAAGAAGGAAATTAAAATTGACCTGGACGACGTCGAAAGAGGAATTCTAATCAACGATGCTCCTCGATCTGAGATGGAACCTTCTTGCTTAAACCTGGGCTTCGAAGGTGACAAGGAGGAAGAAGAAAGTGACGTTGTCAACACGTCATTTCTGCAAAATGAAGGGCGAAAGGGGTCGGTTGCGTCGGTGATGGTGTTACCTTCGATCAGTATTGCCCATTTCTCCAAAGAAAAAGAGCTCACTCTTGCTGAGCCCTTAAGAAACGTCGAAGAAAAGATCACCATCGAGAAAGAAGAAAGCAGCTGTGAGGGCAAGGAAGATGATGAAGAAGACAGTTCTGGGAAAGAAGTTCTATGTTATGCGTGGCAGATTGCTAAAGGGATGGTAAGAATTTTTTCGACTGAAGAATGCCTTGAGCAATTTAGTCATCATTTGCAAAGCGCAAAAATCTGCCTCTTGCCCATATTTAAAAAACTTCTTTTTCCGGCCTGTTATTCCACGGAGGGCTTCATTCCACTCACCCCAAGTCTCCCTGAAAAACAGCATTTAATTAAGTGTCAACAGGTGTCAACGGGCTTTCTTCCGCGGTTGAAAAACTTAAAAACCTTATTTTTCAGCCAATATTCATCCCTTCGAGTTATCGAGGGTAAAATTGTCTGGAAGTGATATGAAGGGAAACAAAAATTACTTCGAGTTAGCGGGAGTTTCGAGTTATCGAGGGTTCTAATTATCGAGGGTAAAATTACGGTAAATGTATGAAGGAAATCCAGGGGAAATCGATTTTGGTTCGAGTTAGCAAAAGGTTTGAGTTAGCGAGGGTTCGAGTTATCGGGAGTCGACTGTAGTTCACTGAGCTTGTTCAACTTTGACGGCTTTTTTTGCTGAAAAGAATACGTTGCGGAGTTTTCTTGGCCAATTCCTTGATTTGTTTCTTCGTTTTCCAACAGCTGTGACGGAAATCCTCCATCCATTCTTCATGAATAGACCCACGATCACTTCCTCCCGCTTTCCGGACAGTTTGCCTGGCACAGCTTACAGTAGCCTTTCCCGGCTCTCGATAGTGGGGATGTCGTGTAAGCGTAAGGCACCGGCAAAAATATAAACGCGTGATCTAGAATTGAAAAGGGGGCGGTGGAGGGCCATTTTTGAGCCTGGAACAGACGTTTCTTTCCACTTGGTTGCCTTTCCGTCAAATCGTTAAATGAGTCGGGAGTTCATTTATAACGATATCCCGATTAAGCTGCTATCCCCCTGCCATATCGTAAAATCGAGGTTCCATTCTACTTTCATATTGACCAATCAAAACGGAAATATGTGTTGATCTAAAGGTATCTGGTAACTAAAAATTGTTTGAGAAATAATTTCGTTATTTCTGTGCCAGGAATACTTGGCCAGCAAAGGATTCATTCATCGTGACCTGGCAGCCCGTAATATCCTACTTGGTGAGGACAGAGCGGTGAAGATCGCTGATTTTGGTTTGTTACGCCATACAAATGAGAGTGAGATATACGAAGTTACGAGCGTACACAAGCTACCAATGAAATGGATGGCACCTGAAGCGTTGGAAAGCGGCATTTTTTCTTTCAAGACTGACGTGTAAGTATAAGATATGTTAAGAAGTCACTGTTAGGCCAAGCTTGGGCTTCTTGTGATGCAGTGTGACGTTGAGGTTCGAGATAACATAGACCCTGCAATGTTTAGAATTGTCTGAAAAAAAAAAAGAGCACAATTTTGACACTGCTTATAGTAGCGGTTATCACTCTATCTCTCAAGGAATACTCAAGTATTTGGAAAACATTAGCCTGTTCCACGCGTGAAACTTGAAAATATGAGATATAAATAGAAACTTTGAGCCGATGAAGTTAATCTGGAATCACTTTGGATCTTAGATTCCACACTCCACATCCCGCATTCCAGATACTGGATTCCGGATTCCAACTCAGTGTATTCCAGCTTTCAAAAGGCCTAGATTCCAGAATTTCATAGTTAGCAGGATTCCGGATTCCAAGGTCCATGATTCCGAGCAAAAACTTCCAGGATTCCACAATCCGTATCACCTTCGATTGGGCGAGATAAACAAAATGGATGTTTCTATGAAATTTAATTCTTGCTATTTCTTTATCTGCTTCCTTTTATTGCAGGTGGTCTTTTGGAGTTGTTTTGTGGGAACTAGCCACCATGGGTAAGCTGGTTTTAAAAATCTTTGTATATTGATGCTGGTAGAATAATACTCTTACTTGTCATTTTCCTATACGCGAGGGAATTGAGAGGAATCCTCCAAGAAAGTAGTTAGAGAAAAGATTACTGTTCGGTTTTAGGATCGCAGTCACAGGAGATTTGAACCGCTTTATAAAAGAGGCCATTCTGGCATAATGTCGTGATTGCTAAACAACTAGAAAAAATAATAGGCTCATGTCCGCAGCTCTCTCAGTCGTCTTTACCGGAAAGGAGCGCAGGCTCATAACAATCCAGCCTATAAGTCATACCCTTAACAACAACTTGACCTGATATCACATGTCACTTGGCGAAATGAATACTCAGTAATGGTAAACTTGTACATTACGTTATTTTAAACCCACCTGGAGGTTGGTAAATTGATATTACATGATGGTCATTGAACTGAGTGGAGAGCACTTTGGTCTGAAATCATCGCGTGATTTCGCGTGCGAGTTCGATTTGAGATTAGAAGTATCATTTCAGACTAAAATTGTATGACACGAAGTGAAATTATAACTTTATTACAGCCATTTTGAAATCGCAGAATTTAATCCGTACCAGCAGTGATTGGCCGTGGCACGAGATAAGTTAGCTCGTTATCCCCCCTGCTCGTTAACATATATTCTGAGGTCATGCTAAGAGATGCTTTGAGCGGTGTGAATGAAGGTATTCGAGTGGGAGGTCATCTCAAGACAGTGCGCTTTGCGGATGATCAAGCAACGTTAGCCAGTTCAGTTAAAGGTCTGCAACTTATGATGGGTAAAATGCAGGAAAGCGCGTTGGAATATGATATGAAGATCAATGTTAAGAAGACTAAGGTGAAGAAAATCAGTAAGAGGCCTGGTGAGGAATTCACGATCTTTCTTGAGGGTAAACAATTAAGTCAAGAATCGTCGCACTTTTAATACCTTTGGAGCCTCATTACACAGGATGGATCCTGTGAAAAATAAATTATTAGATCGAGAACAGCCCGAAAACGCGTTTACTAAGAAAAAAGGACTGCTGACAAAAGCCTTCAGCGCGCTAGCCTTTGCCTGAAGAAGATAATTATAAAGACTGTCATCTGGGGTACTTTTCTGAATGGAGCCGAATGATAGACCTTAAAGAAAGAGGACGTGCGAAGGCTGGAGAACTGTGGGATGTGGCTTTCGAGAAAGGTTTTAAGAGCGACGGTCAGGAAATATCGACCATTGAGTGGCGAGAGTTGAAAAATCGATTTCCTTCAGTTTTTGTCCATAAATAGCTTTTAGGTAGATAAGTAATCTGATGTACGTTGTTCTCGCAAAAAGCCTTTTATTTTCGAGAAAAGTAAGAATATTAGTTTTCGTGGTCAGAGTCTCAAAATGGCCGTATTTTCAACCCGAACTTTGCTAACATCAACTCTCCTCGCGTTCGCAAATAAAGGCGCAAGGAGAAATTTGGACACTTTCCATCAATAGAACAACTTTTCTTCTTTCACTAGAAGATACTTTCAAAGCAATATCAAGACTCGCTGAACTGACACAATTCAACAACGAAGAACCAGTTTTTACGGTGACAAAGACTTTAATTTAGTAGTTGTTTTCTGCGGCATTATTTTTCCCGTGGTATAGCTCCAAATTTTCTCAGTCCCCGTTTATTCACACATTTAGACATTCATCTAAAACATACCTGAGAATTGGCTTGGGTTCCTGAAGGCAGCCTCCAAACGAAAGCATCGAAGTCCGGTAAATACCGTGAAGCGTGACCAAAATAACTTATTTAACGGCACCAAGTTTCATCGATCGTAATATCATATCTTCCTGTTCCCTCATCCTTAGCGAATTACCATTGTTAAAGTCCTTATTTTTCGATAAAAAGTGAGTACCAGAATAATAGCGCGTTTGATTTTTTCTTGTTCAAAACTGACTGTCGACATCGAAAATGTTATGCACTAGTCAGTGGAAAGCCCCGCACCCCCATACCCGGGGAATGCGGGGCATTAGCGGGGGATTTTAGCGGTTTTTAGTGGTCATCTTTGCCCCAGTGTGCGGGGTGTTCGACAACATTAGACACAAATAACAGCGACCGGGGACTGTTAGCGGGGCTTTGGCGGGGATTTCGCTTTTGAAGCAATTTTGAATCGGCCTGCAAAGAACACTGGGGAAGCGTATGATTTCAAAATGGCGGCCGCCAAAAAGAAGGTATGTGCGATTTAAAATCCGTTCTTTTCATGCCTGTAATGGGCCATCGATTAAATTCTGTGTTCAATCTCTAAATATTATCATGTCTTGTAGTGAAATTAGAAAAAGTTGGGTATTGTTTATGCCCTCGTCATGCTTGATTAGCGATTTATCATGATTTATTTAGAGCGTTGACCTTCTGTCTTTTGGCACTTGTTTTCATTTCCGTTGCAACTGTGCAAACCGAGCCAATGGGCGTTTTTTATTTGTTGTTTTAAATAACTGTATTCGTTTTTTCATTGAAATATGTTTCTATAATGTGCTCAGCGTGTCAATTTATTTTTAAGTCTTGTGTTGGATCGCGTCGATTTTTGATAACGACGAGCAGAGGGTGTTAAAAAGGCTCAAGCAAAAAGAAGGTGTTCAAGAGGGATTCGTACTTTTAAAGCGAAATCAAAGAGAGCTACAACATCTAAAGACAGGCATGATGTGTACTGTTGGTGTCAAGAGGGGAAATATGGGGAGATGATAGATAATTTTGCCTGTCCAATTGAATGGTTCCACTTTGAGTGCGTGGGCCTGACTGCTGCTCCAGCTGGCAGGTGGCTGTGTTCCGACTGTGAAGACAGCAACAGATAAGCATTTGTAGAATATAAAATGAAAATTTGGCTTATTAGCAATACTTGTGAATCCAACAACTCGTTCAGTTAAAATGTCCTAAAAGTGATATCTCCAAACTGTTAAATTTATTCTCATACAAAAGGACATTCATTGGGCACTTCTACATGTAATGATGCATTTGTTCAAACACAGTAGTGTGTAAACTACCATTATGTGGGATTATTCAACCACCAGCTGGCTTATTGTAGATGTAGTTGTATGTCAAATGCATGTTGGGACTTGTTATGTCAAAGAATCTAGAATTTACTTTAGTTCGTGTTCGGGTATAGCTAAGCCCTTTAATTGATATTACTGTTTTAGGAGTGGTTTTAGCCAATTTTAAAGAAAGTTATTGCCAAATTTACAATTTCGGGTGTATCTTTAACTTGTTTTGTGTTGACGCGTTGCTTGAATCACCGTGTTCCAGTTTATTCATTTACACGTCCGGAGAAAAGTTCACGGAACTATGTCTTACCAAGAGGAGTAGAGGAAGCCATGATTGTTTCATCTACTTTGTGAAGACATTGAAAAAGTTTTTGTAAGAGTTCAATTTGAGGCACAATTCTTGAAATAAATTAATTTTGGTCAACGTTGTGTATTTGTGATTTTTCAAGTATTGCCCCGGGGGCGGAGTACAAAAATGAGGTTTTGACGTAAGAAATTGCCCCGCACAGCGGGGAATTTGCTTCATTTAGTTGGGACGCCTGGTCTAATGCCCCGCTATTTCCCGGGTATGGGGGTGCGGGGCTTTCCACTGACTAGTGCATTACTCTTTCAAGAATTGCGTTGCGTTACTACCTTGATTCCGTGACTGTCATTTTGACGGCTCCGTCTCTTCAAATGGGTCGGCATTAGATTCTACCCACCAAAACCACATCGATCGAGAGGGACTGAGATTGACTTTTGGACACCTTGTGACATGTTATACCAACGAAAGATGCCTACGATGTTTTGACGTATTCGCCTCCCGGGGATTCGCCTTTCTTTTGCTTTGGGCTTAATAATATTTGGGAGATCGAGTTCTCGCCAACAAAGGGTGAATATAACGAGTATAACTGTATTTTGGCAAATATTGTACGTGAAGTTTTAAAATATGTTTCAGATTTCATGGGTCTACGTGATACACATCTAGCACCGAACACTGTCGGTGGTTTTGGTGGATGTTGAAGTCTACATCCACCAAAACCACTCAGGGTTTTAATTTTTTAGGCGCATAGTTACGCTTCTACAAAGTACTGACGGACTTTTTTAAGACCATACTCATAAAGCATAATAATTATTGACACAAACAAAATTTTAATCATGGTTTTTATATAAGTTGTTATTATTTACACATACAAACTATTTTATTTTCTTATTATTATTTATTATTTTTTTAATGTGCACTTGTGAGCAGCACACTTACACTTCCAGTGAACATTTTCACTTGGGAGAAGGAGAAACCATGCTTGCCCGGGGCAACGAAAATTTTCGTGCCCTGGGCGAGAGTCGAACTCGCGACCTTCCAAATCCCATCATCAGTCCCGGGAAACAAACAGGAACATCATGGCGGGAATTTTAAGTTACGAACCCGCGTTCGATAGGAAAATTGCTGCGAATTTTGGATATGTTTCTGAAGTTCAAAAGCCAACTGACGATTGCGTTTTTTTCGCTGCCGTCAATCATCTTAACGGACCTCTTAGGAAACAAGACTTTACTTTAATGGGTTCAAAAGGTCAAGTTTTGTGATTTGTGATTGGTGGATTTCGATCCGTTTTGTGTTTTTCTGTGTTTCAAGGTTCGTTGCTTGTGGTCGTAATTATGATTGACGGCAGCGAAAAACGCAATTGCGAAGGCGGCTTTTGAACTTTAGAGTTCGCATGTTTGTGAAAAGCGCAGTAACGCTGTATTATGTACATTCATAAGTCTCAGAAATTTAGAATTTTGGAGGTCAATATATGTAGACTGGAATGCTAAAATCCATGCCGGAAAGAAACTTCTTCTTGCAGGGGTGGGGGAGTATAAAGCTCGCGGTATTTACACCTAGCTATATATCCTGGTTCCAGAGGTTGTTCCTGATTTTTCTCCGCGTGAGAAAGAACGAGCACTTACCAGCGAGCTTCGCGATTCGTTCTCGCCGCTCGTTGCTCGTTTCCAACATCTTACTAACATCTCAGTCATTATGTATGAAACTGTATCCCCTGATATATTTTCTGCACCCCACGTGAAATGAACGCAGCCTTTCTCGAGCCTTTCTCTTTCTTTCAGCTCCCAGTACAGAAGTGTAGTACACTCTGCTGGTATAGTAGAATTCCGACTTCACTAACGCTAGAGCCCTAATGGTTCAGTGGTTAGAACGTCCGATCTAGTATTCGGATGTTCGGTTGTTCGTGCATATCATCCGTACATTTTCCGAGAATCTTCGGTTACGACTTTTAAGTTATTCAAAATTTAATCTCAGTCCCTCTCGATCGATGTGGTTTTGGTGGGTAGAATCTAATGCCGACCCTTCAAATGTATGTTATGTCACGTGCAGTCACGGAACAGATTGTCATGCAGAGTCGCCGGCTGGTAGAGTTCAGTGTTTCAAAGTGGCTAAAATTGACCCAGTTTCACCTTTTTACCCCACTCTTTGGTTGGAGAAAGCAACTTTGCAATGGGAAAACCCACAAGAAGTACGAAAAACGAGCCTTTAGGCTGTAAATATCTACTTTTGTGCGTTTCGAAATTGGAAGTGTTTACACAATTACCGTCGGCCTACAATGAAAATTCCTGAACTTCGATGGTGTCTTACAGAGATTTCCTTTAATAACCCAAGCCAATTCCCAGGTATGTTTTAAATGAATGTCTAAATGTGTGATTTAAATAGCACGAAGAGAATTTGGAGTTATGCCACGTGTTAAATATTGCTGTCGAAAATGAGTAACGAACTTAAGTTTTTTAGTTTTTTTTTTAGTTATTTCAGTACGACGAGCTTCGCTATTGCCCTCAAAGTATCTTTTAGTGGAAGAAGAAGAATTTTTCTCTTCATTGAAAGTGTCCAAATTTCTCCATGCGGCTTCGTTTGCGAACGTGAGGAAAGTTGATGTTAGCGAATTTCAGTTTAAAAATTAGGGCAGTCAGAGACTCCGACATCGAAAACCGATCTTTTAATTTTTTTCACAAATAAAAGGCTTTTGGCAGGAACAATCCACATTAGGTTTCTTATCTACCCAACAGCTATCTATGAACAAAAAATGAAAGAAATTGATTTTTCACCTCTTGCCACGAAATTAAGATTTTGGTCGATTTTTCCTGACCGTCGCTCTTAAACATAACTTGAATTGGTCTGACAAAGTCTGTAACGAAGAAGTATTGAAGCGTGTCGGTGAGGAGAGGGCCATCATATCTGTTATGACAGATATTATGACAGATATTATGACAGACAGCGAGTCTGGCTTGGTCAAACCCTACTACATGGTGATAATTTCCCATTAGTTATTGAGGGAAGAATACCAGGAAAGAGACCACCTGGAAGACCTCGAGCGGGAATGCTGGATAGAGTGAAGGATGGCAGCTCTTACGTAGCGGTCAAGAGGCGTGCTTTAGATCGAGAACCATACAGCTATTTCGAGAAAGGTTGTCGGAAAAAGTGCGCGCGACAATCCCGAAAGTTATTGTGGGTGATTTTGAGGTCACTGTTCTTCAAAGAAAGTCAGAATAGAATGGCACGAGAGGCCATGGACATATGTTTGCAAGTGCTAAAGGAAAGCAACAAAAGTAGGTTCGACAGCCACAAAGTCAGGAACAGTGTATTGATCATATCCCATATTACCTGTCGGGATTGTCGCGTGGACATTTTTTCCGACAACCTTTCTCGAAATAGCTGTATGCATAAGGAAGGACTTGCCTGTGGGCAGATCAAATAGCCTGTTGAAAAGTGGAAACAAAAGGGCTTTTACATCTCATTTTGTATTCGAAACAGAAATGATGCGATATAAAGCAAGGTGCGACGGTGCGACGTGGTTTAGAACATAAATAACGCGATTTAGAACAGATATGATTGTGTGATTCGTAAATAAATCACACTGCTGAGAGCCAATCAGATTGCAGGGATCACCAGCGATTTCAAAATGAAAAATAAGAAAAGCCTAAAAATCTTTGATAAGACAACATTGATCTTTATTTTGTTATTTTAGGGGGTACTCCATACCCTGGAATAAGCCCTATGAGGCTATGCAGTTTACTTAAATCTGGATATCGGATGGAGAAACCCCACACGTGCAGCGATGAAATGTAAGTCAGAATAGAAATAGTAAAAGACCTCCGAATAGAGGGCACGATGAAGAAATATACACATAGTACTTCAAAGAGTTTTTTTTTTCTAAAATTGTCAGCCTTTTCCAAGGAGTGGAAACTTCAGCGCGCCTCTTTCCTTTCCGTTGCCCCATTCTAAAAAGAGCCTATAGAACATAAGTGTCTTCAATATTCAAAGTAAATGGAGACATATCTTTGTGTAGCGGTATTTTAAACTATGTCTTCCTTTTTCAATAGCTACAAATTGACGATGGACTGCTGGAAGGAGGATCCAAATGAACGACCCTCATTCGTTCAACTAATACCGATACTGGAAGAGATGATGACAGAAGATACCCCTTACTATTATTTCAGACTACTGGATCAGAACCAGCCATGTTACCGTGAGACATCCGCCACTAACACCAGTAAAGCTAGTACTCTTGATACGAAGCTGTAATTTCTGTAGGGTCTCTATGGTCTATGGTTTAATTTTTGTCAAAGCAAGATTTGTTTTCTTTAGATTGTTATAGGGGTCTCGGGGGGAAGGTGGAGGGTGGGAGGGGGGGAGCTCTCCAATATGAAAGCATAGGGGAATGTTCGACGGATAAGTAGATTAATAATTGCAGTTGCACCGTCTGCAATAACAAGAAACTATACCCATAAACTGAACACCGTTGTTTTCATCTTCACTGTTTGCCAGTATTCCTAACCAGTCTCCCTCAGTTACGATCACAAATGGCAGCCAAAGTAGAACACTCTCTAACTCATTATGACAACGTCTTTTTCTATATAGATATTTCTTTTCGCACAACCCTAAAGCTACGCGCAAACGGACGCAACAACTTCCAACAATGTTGAACAATGTTGCGAGTTGTTGGCCAACAAAGTTACGTCCGTTTGCAGGGGGTTAAGCGATAGTGGGTTTTTGTCTTGCACAGCCAAAGTGAGACCAAAAACTGCTATGTCTACGTCTAAGAGAGACGAGCAACCCCGTCATTTTCATATGGGAGTTCCCTCGCCAAGCAAGGAACAGGACTGAGATGACGAGCACAACTGTTTAATGGCTTATTACAATAAGATACCTAATAATATTTAATTTCATTTGAAAGACATCGAGAAAATACTGAATAGCACTGGGAATATAACAGTTGTAGGGACTAAAATCGGTTCATTCTCTGCAAATCACTATTAAGTTGTTAGTAGCTCGAATTGCTTCTTTTACTTTTTTAGTCTGTCCACACTATACTGGAAATAGATTTTCTTGTCGACATGAAAATGTATCCGGTAGTATGAACGACAACCGTATAGAATAGAATAGAATAGAATAGAATAGAAACTTTATTAAAGTGTCAAAAACCGTCTAGCCAGGGAACAAATCCCTTACTAATTTGGGGACACCAATTAGGGGAGAATATACAAACTAAAAACTATACACAGTAGTAGGTAAAATATCTATAGTTAACTAATTAAGAGATTTATAGTAAAAATACACAGAAGTCAAAATGAACAAAGGCTACAGCCTGCGCAGCCATCATCTAAAAGTTCACTTATATTGAGTTGGCGTATCTTGCTTTTAAACGACGTTAGGGTTGTGACGTCCCTGATACTCTTGGGTAGTTTTGTCCATAGCCTAGGCCCTAAATATCTAATAGAGTGCTTGCCATAGGTGACTGTCTCATACCTAGGTATAGAGAAATCTGCTTGCCGCAGATTGTAATTACTATTTGGTTCTTTAAAGATGTTACTTATATATGCAGGGCACAGTTTATGCTTTACTTTATACATAAGGATGCACAGATCCTGTAAGCGACTATTTAGTAGTGTTGGCAGATCTGCCTTCTCTAATAGTTGTTCATAACTAGAATTATTATCCTTGAAAACCGCTCTAAGTCCTCTTTCTTGTAGTCTTTCAAGCTTTCGAGTGTCACTCGCTTTTTACAAAAATGCCACACTAGGTGACAGTACGTGAGGAATGGTAATATCGCGCTTTTGAATAATATTAACTTAGATTTCATAGGAATTAAATTACGTAGTCTCATTAGAACACCAATTCTCTGGCTGGCTTTTTTACAGATAGAGATTACATGCTCAGAGAAATTTAGCTTAGAATCTAACACTACTCCTAGAAGTATGATATTATCTTTAGTTTCAATCACAACATCATTCACGCAAATATTGCTGTCATTTTGAGTGAAGCCCAAGTTCAAAACTTGGTACTTTTTTAGGTTTCCCGCCAATAAGTTAGAATCGTACCACGTTGTTGCTAAGTTGGCACTATCCTTTAACTGGGAAGTCACAGCTGCCTGGTCTGCTCCTGCGTGGTAAATTTGATGGTCGTCGGCATACATAGACAAGTTCGCTGTTAGGCAGTAGGATAGGTCATTCTGGAAAACATTCCATAACAACGGGCCAAGCGCGGAACCCTGAGGACAGCCACGACTCACGAATCGGCTCGAACTAACATGACGGCCGATCTTTACTTGATATTTCCGTTCATTAAAATAGCTGTTTAAAAGTTGAATAGCGCTTTCCTGAAAACCGTACGCTTCAAGCTTGTTCAGAAGTAGTGGTGGGTGTAACGAGTCAAATGCCTTTGACATGTCAGTTGAAAGTATGCTCACAACCTGTTTTCGATCCCTCGCCAGTCTCCAATCTTCTACTAAATTGATCAATGTTGTTTCGCAGCTGTGAGCTTTGCGATAAGCGGATGAGTGTTGGTAAATGCGATTACCAAAGCCAGAGTTGATCTGCGCTCCAACCAACTTCTCAAGAACTTTACTTACACATGGTAAGAGAGTTATGGGCCGGTAGTTTTCCTTTGCATTTCTGTCATCCTTTTTGTATACTGGGGCCCAATGCCCATATTTCCATTCAGTAGGCCATGCATTCTTTTTAGTACAAGAATAGAACAAGGTGGTTAGTGGAGCGGATAATTCAGTAGCACCTGTTTTTAAAGCCTTTGAAGGAATTCCATCAGTGCCGGTGGCTTTGTTTATGTTCAGCGAATCGAGAACTGCAAGGACTTGTCCCTGTGTAACCAATTCGGTTTCGATGGTCTGAGTGGAATTCCTATTTTCATGTTGTATCCTCTGAACACAAGGATGGTCTCTAAAGTCCTCTATTGACTTTCTTTCAATCGCTGTACCGCCAATGCCATCCGCCAAGGTAGCAAAATGCTCAACCAATTCCTCAGCCACTTGTTGTTGATTCGTTATCATACTGCCGTTTATTTTTAAGTGGATGTCGTTTCTTTCAGTACAGCTCTTAGAGCCCAAAAATGGCTTGAAAGTTTTGAAGAACGCCTTGGGATTGATTTTCAAATCGTTTGACTTATTATACTAGTACTGTTTGATGGCGATTCTTCTTTGTTTAGTGGCCTCGTTTCTGGCTTTACGTCGTAATTCCCAATTTTCTGGCGTTTTGTCTTTCAAGTACTTGTCATTTGCTTTGCGTTTAGCTCTAATCGCACTTTTCCAATGAGACGTCATGTAGGGCACATCTTTATCACGCACACGCATTTTTTTCACAGGTGCCACTTCGTCCAGTATATTGTTCATAAGTGCATTCCACACGTAAACTTGATCGTCGACGTCATCAAACAATTGTCCAACGTGCCATGGGGCAGAGGACAAAAGCTGTTTATAATGTTCAGGGTCAAAGTTCTTATAGCTCCTAAATGTGATGACCTTTGGTTTGTTGTGATTTATTTTCTGCTTCAGGACACCGTAAACAAGGTCGTGATCACTTAAGCAGGGATGGTAATTACCAGATAGGTGGAAGCTATCCGGTCTATTAGTGAGCAAAACATCTATTAAACTCTCTGTTATAATTATTCCACGCTTTTCTATTCTTGTTGGCTTAGTAATTAGACATTCAAAACCTTGTTCAACTTCCAAATCGAGAAGCAGTTTACCTTCAGGTTTGTCAGGGCGAAGTCTGTTCAGATTTAGGTCGCCAGTAACTACAACAAAATTTCCGTTCAAGCTTGCCCAGTTACAGACATAACTGAGTTCGCTTTCCAACAGTGTTTGATATTCGCCACACAGAGCTCTCGGGGGACGATAAATACCAACAATTACCATATTGTCCATATCTGTTTTGATTTCGAAGGCAATTATTTCCAGTGTCTTAAAGGATTTATCAGGTTTAAGCTGTGTATAGAATTGGAACAAGTCGTCCACACACATCGAACATCGCACCAGAGCGGTCAGTTGGCCGAGAGGTCAGTTTGGTGAACTAAATCCCAGTCCTCTCTCCTGACTGATGTGGGTCCCAGCCCACGCTCGCCCCTACTCATTTTACTTGAAAACCTGTTCACACTGCGACGAAAAGTGACAGAAACCTATCCCGGCGATATGTGACGATCCACTTTTAAAGATCGGCGGTGGCGTAACGTAATTTCGCTCCTTAACAGAAATAGCTGGAAAATCACCGTTCTTCTATATGAACCGACAAAAGGAAAATCCGGTATTATTTTCGTGTCGGCGCAAGGACTTTCCGGTATAGTGTGACTGATCATAGCCTTCAGAGTTCCTCAGACGCCACATAACCTACCACATAATTCCGTGGCTACAATTCAATGTTACGAACGTTTCAATTCGCTAGGTTAGATTACATCATTGCCACTCGCTATGAACATGTCATGTCATGTTGGAGAAACGAACTATTGACTCAAAAAGGTGACATCAGGAGTAAGGTGATAAAAGGCACTTCGGCTCACCATAACAATATTGCGGCAGTATAAGAAAAAAAGCTTAATTATTGTAGAGATCTTTGCTGGTGTTGAATAATAATCATAGAGATTATAGTTTAGATTTTTGTGTTCTTTAGCAGATCACCCGGGAAACCCACGTCTGGGTATGAAAAGTGAAGATTTGGATTATCAGGGCAGTTCGGAAAAAATAACATTCAATTTCCTACCAATGGTGCCAATACAATAAGCAATGCAGGTACCTTTGTTACAATTTCTGCAGCTAAGGTCTGGTTTGGAAGTCAGTATGTATAACACGCTATTCTCTAAAGGCACGCAATCAGGGTCAGAGGCGGGAAAGAAGTTATCCGCCTCTGCGTTCATCCGATACCCCTCCTCGATCTGCATAATTTATTTAATTCTTTTACTTAATGGATCATACGCTAGGAAGGAAGTCAGCACCAGCAGGAATGTTTCAATTGTTGTAACAAGAACTTAATTTTTACAACTACATTTATTCATTTACTACATATTGCATATTTACATAACAATATTGCTTCATTTTATAATGATAATAATGAATTTTTGAATGGCAGGGGTAAGATTAAATATTGTAGGGGCTTCGGTATGAATGTGGTCACTTTGATATATCGTGCTATTATTCGAACTCATAGCCAGGCCAAGAAAACCAGAAGAAACGAAAGTCATCACTCTTCTTCCTCGTGTTCTCAGGACATGACGTCAATGGATATATCGACAGTGGCCTACTTCATAAACGAATGTCCAGCTTTTGTCAGTTTCTATATATTTGATGTCATTCTTTAAAATAAATTCAAGGCTTTTAACCTTTATCTGTGTTTGTTCTTTATTTCTGAGTGATACGCTGAGAATCTCGAGCTAAAAAAGCAATCCCCCTGTTCCCCACACGACAGGCTTGGGAGACCCTTATGTGGTATCTTTGTGTTCTAAAAGGTTAATCCGAATTACACATGTGCTTGACCACATGTTGCAAAAGGCAAAACAGGTAGTGCATGATCACTGTTTTTTTTTTCGTACCAGCTAGCTCATAAATAACCAATTGTCTAGTCTGTGTCTGTGTATACAGCAACCCCTTAGGATTTTTCCTCAGGAGCCTGGCTATTTTGAATGGACCGGCACAAATTAAATATCATAATCCAGACCTTCAGATAAGGAAGGGGGGGAGGGTCATTCAGACCCTGAGATAAGCGGGGGGTGGGGGGAAGAGGGCCGGCATCAAAAAAATTTCTTTTCATTTTGGTCTAAGAATAAGGGGGTGGGGGGGCTCCTCCCCTGGATCCGCAACTGCGAACTGAGTGAGACAATTTAAGCGTGAGTCAAAAACGAGGGTTGTAAGAGCCGGTTACTTGGGCTCTCTAAGAAGGGGCATAACAGATTCGATGGTAAATAATCGACACACCGACGCCCCAAAAGGGGTTATCCTCTCTAAGCGCACCCGTATTTAGTATAATCCCTTCAAACAGCAAGAAAATATATGGGAAGTTGGTGCCATTACAAAAATGCTTGTGGACGTTGTGAAACGTCGAACGCTTGACAAAATTCTTGAAAGAAGACAACCTCTCTGACCATGACTCCTAAAACAAGCAAAACGACCCGTTCTATTTATTCTTCCTTTTTAATATCTATCTTAGGATAACAATATTCTTAGTAATATTCTATTTCACCATAACCGTACGTGGGACAACTTGACCACAATATTTTCGGCAAGACCGCAACAGTCTTCATTGGGCAAATTACGTTTTTTAAGTAAACGACAGAAATATGCGCCTTAAAATACAGTAGTTCTGCAAAAGCAACTAAGGATTTGCTAAGAAGAATAAAGCTGCGAGTGAATTTGGGAGTTCTCGTCAAGTATTTCAACAAAATTTAACAAAGATATTCTTGTACTTGTATATCAATTACGAGCCTTTGGTTGTAAACCAAGAAAGGTTCAATAACTTTGACGGTTCTCCACAAAGTATTTTTCTACCAGCACCCCCGAAAACCAAACGAACTCAAACTCCTGCCATCCTTAAAAACGGACTTTCAATAACATGGAGTGAGGAATGCGTGAGGTTTTCGAGGGGCCTTAGTTATGCCAACTGAGAATCTAACACGCCATATTTCCCATATTTCACGGGACCAGGCAAAATGTTCTTTGCGGGGCCTTTCTTAGGGTAATAACAATCTGGTGGGCGCTTCAACATCACGCCAAACTCGGACGAAAAGGTCGGTACTGGTGGTGGTAGTGCAGGTTTTTGAATTGATGTATTCTCTGGAACTAACTCCAGACTCTTTGTTCGGGATAAACCCGGATTATTTGGTCTCGGCGAGCTTTTGCTCGCTTGGCAGAGTTCGCTTCTTACGGATATATTGGGATCACTATGGACAGTCGAAGGTTTTGATTGTTTCCATGGATTGTGAAGGCCACCAAAGAACCCACGAGCACTCGAGAAAAGCAGCCCAGCTGTACGACTGACAACACCCGCTGACCTAGGCGCGTCAGCACTAGAATGACTTTCAGAGGAAGGCTCGGGTCCGTTGGACGTTTCATAGCTAGGACTGTCAGGCAGAAGTTCAGGTGTACTGGACCTTTTACGCTTGCGATGACGTTTCTTCTTACTCTCACTGGTATTGAAGGTATTACCCTACAAGAAATAGAGTACTACAGTTAGTAATCATTTCTAGATTAAGAGTGTTTCTCAATAGTGACCGTTAGATTCTAAGACGAGGACGACTACAAGGAAGAGGTTTTGTCAATGGCAAGAAGTGCGAGGCGTGAGCCAACATCATTTTGGCGGGAAAACGTGACAGCCGTGGTCATTCTACTACGCGTTTTAACGAGAATGTCATTGAGGCGGAAATAAGTTATCAAATGTTAGAAGTTTTATCATTCTGCGATCGGGAGAGGGCTCAAACTCCTTCAATAAAAATAACCGTTCTAACTTTTCTAGTAAAAAAGTGCAACAAAATTTTTCGGGATTACTATTTTCTGAGAAGGGGCAAAAAAACCTCTGAGTCGTCCATGCTCACAAATCTAAAGGTCTCTATTTTAGAATTGCTCCCTGCGAAAGAAATTCCAGCTTGATCAAAGTAGTGCAATATTTGTCGTGTGAGGAAGCAGCATGAAATCAGAGACAAGAAATCCTACTATCCTGTAAATACAGCCTACTCACATCGTTCCACGCCGTCCGGTCGGGACATTTATTAGGGAGTTTAAGATACGGCGACTACGGACTACGACTACGGTTAAACATGCTATTGCGCATGATCAAAACCACGTGACTGTTCATTTTTCCCGCGTAGTCCTGCGGCTACGGTGAGTTGTTGAGCTGTTTCGCGTAGTCGGGACTACGGAGAACATTTTGAATCAGTGAAAGGTTCCGGCAATTCTGCTTTTTTACAAAAAGATCAACTCTGCTACTTGAAAAGAGCAGAAAAATTAACTTTCTGCATTTATTTTTTATAGAACAACATGCAAAATTGTTACCTTTTTTGTTAATGCTAGTCGATCAGGTAAAAAGTTAAAAAAAGGTACCTTTTCAGAAAAAAAAGGCGGGTATTTGAAGCTTTCGGGTGAAAATATTTGAACGTGAATATTGTCCGCTTTTCATCCATTTCTCACTTTACCAAACAAAAGTTTAAGGCGCGAAAAAGGTACCTTTTTTTCAGTTTGAAGCGATCTCTTCAAAAGCGCGAAAAAGGTACCTTTTTGTGGTTTAGAAAGATTCCTATCAAAAGAGCAAAAAAGGTACCTTTTTTGCGGTTGGAAGCGATGTTCTTATAAGTGCGAAAAGGGAACCTTAAAAATAAATGGCGTTTTCAAACTATATTTGAAAGCCGTTTCAAATCCTACTGATTGACAGATGTCAACCGTTTGGGGCCATTTGTTTTGCTTGAATTGACTGACCCACTAGTCAAGAGACAAATATGGCGGAGCAAATGGAAAGCAATGTTACTTTAATAAGGAATCTCATTGAAGACAATAAAACGTACAAACATGTCGGTGAAATTCTCGGACAAAACTTTCCAGAAGTAACAAGAGGCTTTTGAGAAAGAAACGTGCGATTATTTTGTGCTAAATATGGGATAAGACGACTCAACGAATACGAAGTGGATTCCATCGTTCAGAAGTGAAAAAAGGCACCCACGAAACAAAACAGTTATTATGATAACCCGTTCAGCTTAGACTCAAAAGAAAAAAACATTTCTCTGCTGTTTGTCGTAGATCGACGTAGAATCTGATATATTTTTTTTCGCAGATTAAAATGGTTCGACTTTTCATATGGGACTTTTTTTAAGTCTTCGCTCCACGCTTAAAAATGGGCCGGCTTGCTTAGGTCCTCCACGTGCATCTAGTTTGAAAGAACCAGTAGCTATTTCATCCATTTGGATGGTAGCCAGTATTTTCGGATCTCTTCAGTCTAGTTTCTCAATTTTGATCGGCTAAAAGGAGCCAGCTATTTTTTTTTTAGTCCGATGATTCCCCATAGTAGACCCTCGTCCACGTACGTAGCTCGGAAAATATGCCAATAATGCAGGACGCGATAATTATAATATTGCGCGTCCGAGCCATTTCTGTTAAATAGCCGGGGCCACTGAGGAATAGCCTCCCATACAGGTGTTTCTAGGGCAGTCTAGGACGGGCTTTGCTCGTTTTAATTAGATTCGGGACTGCGAAATTCGATTGTAGAAACGGAACATAGAGTCCCCTAAAAACGTCTGTGTATAGTTCGTTAGCGGCGCCAACGGTTGCTTGACATCTGTCAATCAGTAGTATAGGATTTTAATTGAAACATCATTTATTTTTAAAGGTGCCTTTTTCGCGCTTTTCATGAGATTGCTTGTAACCGCAAAAAAGGTGCCTTTTTTGCTCTTTTGATAGGAACGTTTCTAAACCGCAAGAAAGGTACCTTTTTCGCGCTTTTGAAGAGATCGCTTCAAACTGAAAAAAACGTACCTTTTTGGCGCTTTAAAGTTTTGTTTGGTAAAGTGAGAAATGGATGAAAAGCGGACAATATTGACGTTAAAATATTTTCCCTCGAAAGCTTAAAATGCCCTCCTATTTTTTTCTAAAAAGGTACCTTTTTTTAACTTCTCACCTAATCGACTAGCATTAACAAAAAAGGTAAGAATTTTTTATTTTGTTCTATGAAAAATAAATGCAGAAAGTTAATTTTCTGCTCTTTTCAAGTAGCAGAGTTGATCTTTTTGTAAAAAGCAGAATTGCCGGAACCTTTCACTGATTATTTTGCTCGTATTTTGCCGTCTCGGTAATTCAAGAATCTCGTCTTTTCGTAAAAAAGTTTTCAATTCACCTGCTTTAAGTGAGAGGGGAGCGAAATATGTAAGTTGTGTCTAATTTCTGCTCAGATTTACGCTTTTAATTCACTGTTGTGACTACATTTTTATCTAGCTAAGCTCATATTTAAATAAGCTAAGCTGTTTATACGCAGAATTCAGATTGACGGCCCAGGAGAAGAGAAATCATGCAGGTAATTTACTTTCTCTTCGCAATTGAAAAGTTTCAATGTTTGTTCGAACTGACTAGTGTGTCTTTCTACTTGTGTAACCTTTGTTTATGCGAGTTTTTGTATCGCATTTGCTGAATGAAAATGATGTAAACATCTTCGAGACAATCGAAACTCGGCATTTCAATACTTCAAACTATATCAGATCAGTACGTTGGAGAATCTAATAAATGAGCTATTATACTATTTCTGTCTATTTCTTTAGTATTTGACATAAGTATTCATGGGCGAAAAAAATAAAACCTGTGTAACCAAAACTTTGCTCACCAATTTCACCCGACGTAATTGCTTCCTTCAAATATGGAAGAATTTGTTCATTGATCTAAAGATAAGATCACATGCAAAACTGACTTGCATTTTTGTGAACTGTGATGAAAACAAGAAAATCTTTGCGTGTTGTTTCCCTGTCCGCCTCTTCTCTCGTAGTCTACTGTCTGTAGTGCAATCTTAACGTTCTATATTTGCACGACTCAACCCAGTGCTACAAACAAAAGACAACGCTCGTCCAGCCGTAGTCCGTAGTCTCCGTATCTTAAACTAGGGAGCTTTAGCAACGACGACGGCGACGGCAAATAGGACGTCAAAAAAGCAATAGCTTTATTACGCAAAACAACAACTTTGCACGTGCATCACGCTTTTTTGTACATTTCTTTACCGTCCTTGCACGACTACGACGTGAAAATGCCTAATTGCAAGTTTTATGGAGGACGTGAACAAGCGACGACGAATCTCTTTTTCTCTAAACTTGAGTGCGGTCAACTCCACGGAAATTCGCCTAAACTTGCCATTTTCAGCAAATTGGAGTAAACGCGACAAAGATTGAAAAACGGGAATTCATTTTAAAACTGACGTTTTCCCTGCAGTTGCCGTCGTCGATGCTAAAGCTCCCTATTTCCTAGCGACGGAGAGCGACGAGAGGCGGCTGTATTTGCAATGGAACAGTATACACCCTATTCTTTCCCCTTCTGGAAATAAACAGAACTGGCGAATGATAATTCGAGCTTACTCTAGAAACCTTCTAGTGGACTAACATTTAACATTTAAATTCAAACATCAAGGATTAGCTTTCACCATTCAATTATAAAATACACAACTGCATTGTGTGAAAACCTGCCTTTACTAATTTGTTGTCATGGCGATCTGTATCAGTGCCGCCTCCGATACTCTCCGGTTCCGCCATCTTGACAAAACTGAAAAGAAGCTGTTCTTTTCCACTTAACCTAGGAACTAAAATAAAAAAAAATGAATAACTAAAACAAATATATACGTTTGTACACTGTACACATTGGACCGACAATACATGTTTCAGTAACTTGCAATGTGGTGGTAAAAATGAACAAATGAATGAACAAAATATATTGCTTCGATATCACAAATAAAGGGTTCTGAAAACCTCTTGTTGCATAAATGCGTTCTGAAGTATAATTAACAATTATTCTTTGAAAGCGAGGTGAATAGTGGCAAAATATTTACCGAGCCGCGAAAGCGGCGAGGTAAATATTCCCAAAGCCACTATTCACCGAAATTGAGAAGAATAATTGTTTTAGTATATACACACGAAGTGATCTCAACAAAATCAGAAAGGAAACCATTCAAAAGTAGGATTTGATTGACAGATCAAATCACGCGTAAGTTTAAAAATAGATCTTTGCAGAATTTTCAAACATGGCAATTCACAAGTCTACTCATTTCGCAAACAACAGCGTAATGGCTTCAATGGAATCGCTAAAAAGTTTGAACTGTTTCCTTACCTGAGAAAAAAAAGTAGAGCTGTGTTGTTTTCTGTTGACTCGCCAAGTTTATAGCCAAAAGGGCATGTTGTGTCGTTCTTCGCATGAAGTGCTGACAAAAATGGCGGCTCGGTTGCTCGAGGTAAGAGGTCGTCTTCCTGTATCATTCTTTTCCTGTTTACTTGAAATGTAGAATTTCTGCAAACATTTCCTTTTATATTTGTTTGTCATAAATAAACTTCGATTTTTGAGCCAAAATTTTCTTCTTAGAAAACGCTGAGTTCACAGAAACAGCTTCTTCTACGCGAATACACGGGAGTTGTAAACAATCCATCGAGCACAAAACTCCTGCTACAGTAAATTGAAAAATCGCCGTATTGAATCCTTCCCTCCCAGCGAGTCTTTTCTTGCCTTTTTTAAAACGTCAAAAGCCCTCCTAGGGCTTTTTTTAAGGCAAGAAAAGACTTGGAAGGATTCAATACGGCGTTTTTTCAATTTACTGTAGCAGGAGTTTTGTGCTCGATGGATTGTTTACAACTCCCGTGTATTCGCGTAGAAGAAGCCGTTTCGTGAACTCAGCGTTTTCTAAGAAGAAAATTTTGGCTCAAAAATCGAAGTTTATTTATGACAAACAAATTTAAAAGGAAATGTTTGCAGAAATTTACATTTCAAGTAAACAGGAAAAAGAATGATACAGGAAGACGACCTCTTACCTCGAGCAACCGAGCCGCCATTTTTGTCAGCACTTCATGCGAAGAACGACACAACATGCCCTTTTTGGCTATAAACTTGGCCAGTCAACAGAAAACAACACAGCTCTACTTTTTTTCTCAGGTAAGGAAACAGTTCAAACTTTTAGCGATTCCATTGAAGCCATTACGCTGTTGTTTGCGAAATGAGTAAACTTGTGAATTGCCATGTTTGAAAATTCTGCAAAGATCTATTTTTAAACTTACGCGTGATTTGATCTGTCAATCAAATCCTACTTTTGAATGGTTTCCTTTCTGATTTTGTTGAGATCACTTCGTGTGTATATACTAAAACAATTATTCTTCTCAATCTCGGTGAATAGTGGCTTTGGGAATATTTACCTCGCCGCTTTCGCGGCTCGGTAAATATTTTGCCACTATTCACCTCGATTTCAAAGAATAATTGTTAATGAACATAATATTCAATGCCATGCGGTTTAAAATCATTTTCACGAGAAAACAATGTCACTTAGCCTCGTTTTGAAAATGAGAGTTTTTGGAACTCAGAAATAGCAAACTAAAAAGTAATCCAAGCTGATATTTTTAACTACTAAGGAGGTATGTGGGGAGACATTTCATGTTGATATCAAGTTGATAAAATGCCAGATGAATATTCCTAGTGCACGAACGTAGTACTCACCTTCAGACAAGACAGTGGCTTTGCTGCGTTTGCTATCTTCAATTGCAAGTCGAGGGGGGCCATGACCGTTCATAAGGTGCGCTGACCTCCCGGGTGAGTTAGAAGTCACCTGATTATTGTTTCTCTTTGCAAACAGTATGAACAGAAGAAGAATTAAGACTATTTCAATGCAAAGACCGATGACATGGCGCTCCATCACTTCCTTATTGAGTGGATCCATACGGGCTTTCTTATCACCAACTGCGTTGGTCAGGTTATCCAGCTTTGATTGCAGTTTAGTGATCTGTTCCTTTTGGTTGTTGATCTGTAGAAGGAAATGTGTAAAGTGTACATTTAAAAAGAAGTAACATTGGTTCGATTAATATGTGCATGTAAACAAGACACTTGCACAGGAAATCGTCTACACTGTAGAACGTATACCAAACGCGGCGCTTGATGGAACGTGGCGAACACCATCAAACGTAAATGGTTGCGCTAAAGGTTCTACCATCGTCACAGGCGGCCCAGACGTAGTATGTGTCACTGAATGAATATATTAATATCCACATGGACAAATTAATGCGATGAGTCGTCGAAACTCCCATGGACTAAAATAGTCTAAAAGTCAAAATATAACAAAACAAAGCTAAGATACCTTCAACTGAACGTATCCTTGTCATTCCTGGCCGGTTTAAGTGGCATTTTGTTGAGTTTTGAAATTGTAGGTACTATCCACTAAAGAAGAATTAAAGGCTGGCTACAAAACAAACAGACCATCTCCACGCGCCTTCACACGAAGCGCTATAAATTCGAGAATAATCGACGAATCCGCTCCAAATAACCATCGGCTAATCTGCAGGTAACGTGTGCTCCTGCCTCTGGCTCGCTTGCTCCACAAAACCCTTCGCAACTGCACAATAATTGCTCGCTCATCAACAATCACTGTTGACCTTTACGCTTCGATATGACCGCAAAGGACCAGGTTTAATACGCGACGTGAATATGAATATTCAAGCTTAGCGACCGCGTTCGCGCAACAATGCAGCACTTGCTATGGGAGGGATGGTACTATTGCTTCTAGGTCAATCGACTGACCGAAGGTTCGCTGCGTTAGTTTTGACCAGAAAACAAAAGGCGATCGCGGGACCGTCCGTAAGTTTTCAACAGGGCAGCCCTGGTTTTCAAGTTCGAATTCTTCTAACGTTCGCTGTCTCAGCTGCTGTCAGATTGTTCGTCCAGCCGCTTGCATAGGTTCTTGACTCTACCAGACTTATTTGCTTAGATTAACAACGTCTTACTCCATAATATGTTGTCCAAACTGGTGAAGGAGGACGAGAATTTTCCCTCCAGAAAAAAGGCAAAATCTGGCCCCCGCTATGCAGCTGAATAGAAGATACAGCTGAAGATATCGCAAAGTAAAATTTATGTACGCGATATCTTTTTTGTGATTATTATTATTCTCAAAACTCAGGGGCACCCAGCGATGATTTCCCCCTAAATGCATTGAAAACACATTTAAGGCTGTCCAGAGTACTTTTGATCGCAAAATGCATTCTAAACAGCGCTTACATAAATTTAGTCAGGAGGGCTAAAAGCGAAGCTAATGATCTCATACTAAATATAAAATATATCGTGTAATGCTAAGCGGAGAAGGCAACGAGAGAGGGCCACCCAACGACTGTTTCCTCAAATACTTTCAATTGAAAACACTTTTGTAGCTATTCATTAAGTACTTTTAGCTCTATAGAAATGCACTCTAAGTGGCGCTATAAAATTTGCATCTCAGTGTTCGGCCATTCTAGAGGAACTTGAGTCTTTTCGAAATTACGAAGAATTCGGAATTATTTTCCCGAAAATTTTAGATACAATTTAACGTATTACGAAGGAGATAATTTTTCAGATACCTTCTTTCATCACATTTTTGAATCCGAAAATTTTAGGATTCCATTTTACTGTCTACGAAAAATAGCCTAACCCGGTGAGTGAAATGTGAAAAATTAAAAGTTGGATGCCCTTGACCAGAACTGTGAAAAACAACAATAGGTCTAATTGCAGCACACTTTCTTGTACATCTCCTTGCCGTTGATTTGCATGACTGCAACGTGAAACGTCCAGAAAACTTCCTGGTTTTCACTTTTTATGGAGAAAATGTGGTACATGTTCTTGTTCACTTTTTCCGCTGCCGCTCATTTTTTTAAGCTCCGCTATAAGATTCGTATCTATTCGGTGCTCCTTGGGCAAATTGGATCTTTTTAAAAATTACAAGGGCTTCAATATTTAATATTTTCCCGATTGATTGACCTAGAAGCAATAGTGCCATCCCTCCCATAGCAAGTGCTGCATTGTTGCGCGAACGCGGTCGCTAAGCTTGAATATTCACGTCGCGTATTAAACCTGGTCCTTTGCGGTCATATCGAAGCGTAAAGGTCAACAGTGGTTGTTGATGAGCGAGCAATTATTGTGCAGTTGCGATGGGTTTTGTGGAGCAAGCGAGCCAGAGGCAGGAGCACACGTTACTTGCAGATTAGCCGATGGTTATTTGGAGCGGATTCGTCGATTATTCTCGAATTTATAGCGCTTCGTGTGAAGGCGCGTGGAGATGGTCTGTTTGTTTTGTAGCCAGCCTTTAATTCTTCTTTAGTGGATAGTACCTACAATT